GATGTGGTGAAGTATGCAATGGTGGCCACCGCCTTGGTCCCGGATTACATCACCAAACCTGGAGGAGAAGATGAAGATCGACCGAAGGAACAACAAGATCAAGCTCCATCGAGGGACATCGTGATGCCATGTGAAGAATCCCCAGAAAAGGGGAAACCTAAAATTCTGGAACCCTCGTGGGGGGATGGTCTCGAAGAGGGAGATTGCCCGCTTGGTGGAGAAGATCATCAACTTCCAGAGTCGGGGGAGAAGGACAACAGTGGAAAGGAAGAAAAAGGAGATCCCGACCCGATGACGGAAGAAGTCAAAAGGTTGGTAGAAGAATCCAAGCAGCCGTTCAATGTACGGCACGTGACATTGGTGGAACTTCTGGGGTCAAGGCATGTGAGTGAAATCCTAGTCGCCCTGGGAAAATGCATCGCGAAGTTCAACACGATGGGCATCAAGATCAACCGTCTGCATAGTGATCGGGCTAAAGAGCTACTGTCAAAAAAGGTTGAAAAATGGTGCTCAGAGCGCCTTATAAGACAGAGCATGACGGAGGGAGACGACCCGGCCTCAAACGGCCATGTGGAATCAGAGGTCAATCAGCTTAAAAGGCGAACCCGTCTGTATCTCCGCGTGGCAGGAAGTGAGGTGACCGACTGGCCTCAAGCCATGAGGTATTGTGCTGAAGAACGAATGAGGCAACAGTTGGAGAAACTGGGGGTGCCCGTACTGTCAATGCTGCCCTTCAGGGCCAACGTCTTGGTTCGGTCAAAAAGATGGTTCAAAAAGGGGGCGATTCCGTCTCCATACACAGAAGGACGCCTACTGTGTCCGAGTCCAATGATGTTCTCGGGTTGGGTAGTCCAACAGAAAGATGGAAAAGTGGTTCATGCTCGAGAAGTGGTTGTTCCGAGTGAGGAAGGGGAGCGGGTCCGCATCAGGTTGGAGATAGAAGACAATCCTGAAAGGCCTCACAGACGGCTTTACTCCAAGACGCCGCCAGAAGGTGTCATGAGGTTGCCGCCAACCATTGGGGACGCTCCGCTACCACCTCCTGACGAATCACCACCTGAAGATTCAGAGCCATACGAACCGAGCGAAATGCTCGAAGCAGATGAAGGGCCTGATGAAATCGACTTACTTTTTGAAGAACTTAACCGAGAAGATCCGGAAGCTCCTGTGGAAGAGATTGACAGCCTCGTGCCGGAAATCTCAAAAATGAAAGTAGAGCCTGCTGAAGTGTCAGCAGGGGGGAGCCCGGTAACCTTTTCAAAAGTGATAACCTTTTCAAAAGTGAAAAAATCAAAGTTTCAAGGGTTTCTGCACAAGATGGTCCAGACTCGGGGGAGAAGCACATCGAAAGAAGTCCAACCTCGGGGGAGTTCATCGTCAGAAACGTTAGCTTGACACACCTGTTGAAGTTTAAAGAAGATCAACACCTTGGAGTTGTGGAAGCCATTAAGGAAGAACTGTCGAATGTTCCAGTGGATCCCACGAACGGTTTCATACAGGGACAAGTTCTACGACTTCTGCAAGAACACCGTGAAGATTTGGAAAAAGAACTGGAAGCTGTAACAACTGCGAAGGTTGAGGAGGAAAGGCGAGTGTGCCAACTAAGGGTTTGTTCAGCACAAGCTGACGGTAGCGGTGGAGAAGAATAACTTCAAACTGTTACAGTCCCTCTCCACAAGGTGAGAATGGAAAAGGAAAAATGGTACGACTCGATGCTCGCCGAGTACAAATCCTTGACTGCAGAAACAAAAGCTATCCGACCAGTCAAAAGGTCCGAGATTGACCCTGAAGCCGAATTGGTGCCGGGGAAATTGGACTGTGTGATCAAGGCTGGAGGAAGATACAAATGTCGTGCTGTGATCTGCGGCAACTTGGCATCACCGGAAGCGGATCCCATTTCTTCCTCTCTGCTGTATGCCAGTGGAGCGGACGGGGTTCTGATAAGGTGTGCATTGCGAAAGGCAGCTCATCACCAATGGGATGTAGCCACGACGGACATCAAGACCGCTTTTCTACTGGCTCCTCGACCGGTGGAACAAGGTGCCAAAACCGTGGCGGTGGTTCCGCCCAGGATCATGACTGATTTTGGGATTACCCAACCGGATGAGGTCTGGCTTGTCGACAAGGCCCTGTATGGGTTTCAATCCAGTCCTGCCCATTGGGCAGTGTACCGCGACCAAACAATGCGGCGGTTCACATGGCAGGGAGATGCAAGCCCGGGGGAGATGCAGAAGGAGTACAAGCTGGAACAAACGCCGGAAGGAAATTTGTGGAGAATCCTGTGTAAAGGTGGTGACGCTCCGGGAGAAGAAGTACGTCCTGATGGATATCGGCAAGTGGGTTTGGTGGTCGTCTATGTGGACGATCTTATGGTTCTTGCGGAACCTCACGCCAAACACAGCTTCTTGAAGAGGCTGAAGGAAGAATGGACTTGCTCCACTCCTGAAGAAGTTGATCACAAAGGCTGGGTTCGATTTTGTGGGTTCGAGCTCCAATGGAGCGGTCAAGGGGATCACAAGAAGTTGAAGGTGGGACAGCAGTCCTACACTCGGGATCTGTTGAATCGACATCAAGTAGAACACCCAAGACCGGTTCCGATGACGAAAGCGGATGCCGAACTTCCGGAAGAACAACCAGCACTTGAAAACATCCGACAAGCTCAAACGGTGGTGGGCGAGTTGTTGTGGTTGTCCATAAGGACAAGGCCGGATATCAGTTTCGCCGTCAGCCAATTGGGAAGGCAGGTGAACAAACGGCCCAAATGGGTGGTGAAAACCGCACAGCAGGTGTTTGGTTACCTGAAGGGAACCGAAACTCAACATCTCAGCTATGGGGTTTGCACAAGTGATGATCGTGGTCCCGAAGATGATCTGCCATTTCACCGGGAGATGCAGCAAGTCGAAATGTTCTCGGACATTTCATTTGCCCCTGCGGGCGAAAGATCACTGCAGGGTATCCTAGGTTTTTATGGTGGAGGGTTGGTTCAATGGGAAGCCAGCCGTCAAGCTTTTGTGGTGTTGAGCACCGCCGAAGGGGAACTGATGTCCTACTTGGAATCCATGGTCATGGGAGACTCTCTGGCGTCTCTCATAGAGGTCGTGGAAGGACGGAAAATCGGGCAGAAGATCATCTACGGAGACAACACGGCTGCAATAGCCATCTTGGAAAATCCTGACGGTCCGTGGAGGACTCGGCACTTGCGGTTGCGAGCAACAGCCCTAAGGGAAAGGTTAAAGGATGGTAGTTGGATCATCCGTCACCTTCCAGGGGTAAAACTTGTGGCCAATTTCCTGACGAAGATCATCGCTGTGAAGCCCAGTTGGGAAAGGTTCTGGAGGTTCGTCAATCACCAAGGTTCCGGGGTTCCAAATGAGGAACCATCAATGGGGTCCAACCATCGTGAAGAACAACCTCTGGGAGAAGAACAACGTCCAGAAGAACCAGACCAGGAGACTTCCTCTTGGGACAACTACCGAGACATCTCTGGTCGGTGCGTGTCAGTGGTGAAAAAGGTGGTTGGTCTGGCCGAGGAATATCCAGAACTAGCCGATTTCCGGCATGAAGCCCTGAGCACTGCCATTGGAAGGCTGGTGCAAGTACTGGCTGATGCGTATCGCGTCACTGAATCCGTGGTCAAGGATCGGTTCCAGTTGGAGTCGGTCTTACCGTTTTTGGAGAAGAAGAACATTCCTGGACAAGTTGAACACCCTGTAGAAGAAGAACCTAGGGGTATTCTAAAACGGGGTACTAGGTCCAAAAGGGATAACCCAAAACCTAAACGGGTTTATTTTTGGGATGAAAATCCACCAGTTTTGAAAGTTTTGCTGGTACAAGATCACCACGGTCATGTTGCCCAATTGCACAGTTATGAAAAAGAAGAACCCATCCCTAAGACCATCCTGGGTGATGGACAAGAGAAACATTGGGACTTGGATTGTGCCAGGTCCGATCGAAAAGAACATCGAGCTGCTGAAGATGTACCAAGGTCGGGTCCCACAGAAACGAGGGATCAGGTAGCAGTTCAAGGGATGGATTTTTTGGGGAGTGTGGTTAAGATGGGTGAAATACAACTTCATGGTAAACCCTCAAAAGGGATAGCTCCGCAACCAATGGGAACTCAAGGCGATCAGAAGGAAAAAGAAGCCCGGATCCTATTGCAAGTGGGAACCGAAAAAGAAAAAGAAAAAGAAGAACTAAAAAAGGATAGATCACACGGAAAAGTACATCGGTGGCTGGAGAAAAAGATCAACAAGACCCAAGGAAAAGATCATTAGCTGCCGGTGGAAAAGACCAATACAGGGAAAAGCTCATCAGCTACTGGACCCAAAGAACACCGTTGGGCGCTCTTCGAGGACAGCGCTGGTGAGAGAGGGAATTCAAAACCTACGAAGTTAGGGCTGTAGTTTTTCAATTTTTGGAGTCAACCCGAAGTGGAACTCCACGCGACCCTTGGATGAAGGGGGAACCAACACCAGCCTGGGACTATGGCACACGAGGGTCTTCGCCCTTCTGGCTGGGGGAAGGGCGAGTTCCCAGAGGAAACGTGGCCACCCCTGAAGCTTTTGTTTTTGGTGTTGGGGAACCTGGATTCCTGCAAGCAGGAAGGGGGAGTGCGGTTTGGGAAACATGCACAGAGTACCACTGCACCCCCACTAAGGTCTTCTTTAAAGTTTTCACAGTCGTTGAGACGTCCTCCGACTGTTGCAACTTGGCTCAAGGGCCAATCAACTGACTGGCTCAAGATCACCGAGCCCAATCTGGAGTGAAAAGGTGCGCCAGCATCTGCCTCTTGGTGGGGTTCTCCGGGAAGGGTCTCGGTCATAGTCTGAAACCCGTGGTTGGAAAATGCGACAATATAGGAACAGATTGAAATGTGTACCAAGCCCCAGTGGAATTCCGTTTCAAGTTTCAAGCATACAATTTCTCAGGTGAGCGGGGAGGAAATCAGATCCGTCATTTTGATACACTGCCATTTGTTGCCACGCGCCCCCCCCTTTGGCCTTTTCCAATGATCCAACCGACAAGACGTTGCTCAATGAAGTATTCGACCTTGAAGCAACTCGATGGGCAAAAGTTCGCTGCTGAATGTTTACAAGAGGCCAAGGTCCCTACACCTGGACCGTCCAAGCGAGAACGCTTGTCCGTGTTGTCCTGGAACGCTCAGTGACTACATAGGTTGACATAGGCAAGATGGGATTTGCAATGTCAAAGCTCACTTAGAATACGGCAAAAAAATAGTACCTAATGCCATAGATCCTGGAGAGGAGTGCCATTCCTGCGCAGCCACTTCAGATTTGAAAGAGGTCACGGCAATGACAGGAGCATCTGCCAAAACTGATTGCAAATCCATTCACCAGCTACTAAGAGGGATTCTCAACATACCAATTCTAAGTGTTTGAGCAAATAGGTAAATGATGCCTCACAAAGAAGGAAGCAAAAAAAAACACAAGCTCGAGACTTGTCCTCTTCTGCTGCAGATGCTGCAGAAAGGCAGATTGGAACTCCATGAGCGATCCGTAAATTGATAGCAGGTATCAAGTATATAGACAGGGCTCAAAAATAGAATGCCAACGCGCCCGCAAAACAGGGAATTTAATACAGTATTAAATCATCCGATTTGGGGCACAAATAATTTTGAGCCATTACCCACATGGCCTTCAATGGCTTCACTCTAATCTCTGGTTGTCCTGAGCGCCAGTCTCTTCGTTAGATGCCAAGCGTTGCCTACACTACGTTGCTAGATGCTACGCTGCTTGATAGCAACATAAGCAGTGACAGCTTGAGAGCTGAATGGCCGCACTGTTCCCCAAGAATGCACAGAGATGAAAGAACTCTCCAGGAAGATGCAATTTTTGACCAATTGCGTATTTCAAAATACGTTGCTTGTATTTCAGACGTTTTACAAGATGAGACACTGCCTCTCCAAGCAACACAGTGTTTGCTTTTTTTCCGCAGAAAGGGGAGCTGAATCTGTGTCAAAAGGCGGTGTCTCACCACCATCTTCATCTTCTTCATCCATCGGCGTGAGAAGTTTCCTCTGGCATGGCCGACTGCCATGCTTCCTTACGACTGTGGCTTTGCTGTCAAGAACACAGCCAAAGATTTAGTCCCGCAGAACATGTTTAATAAGAAGGATACCCTTGCAAGCATCAGGAAGCCTTGATGTGATGACACCAAATCAAAAGGTAAGTTGATCCCAGATGCCCAGAAGCCTTTATTCAAAAATATGTTTTCCTGCAAAGTCTTGCCACCCAGAAGCCTTCTCGCGAGGAGCCCCAGTGGATTCCACCAAAAAAGCATTGGTTTTACTCTTCCTCTGAACTGTCCCTGAGCCGAATTTCATGCTGTCATGCTCCGCTCTTGTGCGTATTCGAAGGCACAGGTGCGCGACGTAGAGTTGACAGCACAAGCACATGCAGAGGAGAGCAATGTAGCCATGAATGCAATAGCTGCCAGGCTTCACCTGAGTCATGAAAAATTAGCCCTATCCCATCCCATTCTATTTTACTGGCTGCTTCATAGGTATTCCATAACAATCATTATCAATATCTTTTAAACACTGTTAAACCACATGGTACCCACTCTAATAACTAACCAAAAAGTGATAAGGTTGGTATTGTTTAGTAGTTCTAACATGTTTGAATGGTTCCGCCTTCATGCCATAGGACACCGGAAGGATGTCCCCAAAGAGCTCCAAGATCACTGACATCACGAAGCCGCCGAGCCCGGCTCCTAGGAATGCGCTCAAGCCCCAGAGGCCCATGTACCTGGACGCTTCGTCCGGATCAGGCATGGTGGCAATGCCCAAAGCCAAGTCGGCCGACATGTAGGAGCCCTTCCCAAATCCGTAGACTGCAAAGAAGAGAAGCAGAATCATCTTTTTCACTTCCAATTCCTTGAAGAAGAGGCAAACCCAAAACTGGGTTCCAATTGCAAGGAGGATGGAACCGAAGCATGCGATGCTCTGCGAGCGGATGGAAGTTCTGGTGAAAAGAACTGATGACAACACGCTGCCAAGGATTGCCGCCCCAACTGTGCTGAGCGACGCTTCGGCCAGTAGCAGAGCTTGGTCCTTTTCCGATGTTATGTCCAACCTGTCTCGCGCAAAGTATAGCAGGAAGCTCTTGGAAGCTGCAGAAGCGTAGTAGAAACCACGCTCCCACAGCACCAAGATGTAGTCAGTGCATTTACTATGACTCATCCAAAAGATCGTCCGCAAAGAAACAGGATTGCTGGGCAATAGCATAGTGTGGCTTGCAGCCTGACACGAAATGGTTCTCGGTCTTGAAAAAGCTGTGTTTTGTTGGCAGTAAATCAGTCGCGAAAGCATCGATTTTAAGTATATACTCTGATGTGCTCTGCTAGACTGCTTAGCTAGACAGGTCCCCCAAGCATCACAACTCGTTTGCTGATGCATAAAAACAAATATGAATGACTGAATCTCCCCGCTTCATGCTTTGAAATCTAGGCTTTGTGCAGGAACATCAGGCAGCAATGACCACATAATCTGATGGTAACATCTGCAAATGGCAGAGGCAAAGGCAATTGATGGCAATTGTAAAGAAACTCCAGGCGCAATGAATGAGACAAGTGATGAGCAGTTTCTCTGCCGTCAATGGCCTGTGCTCTTAAGCTGTTTGCATTTTTGGGCCCATCATCCCACCACGCCTCCTGGGCAGAGAAGTGGGTCACTGGGAGGAAGAGGTACGTGAGTCCCACTTGTATAGCATAAATGTAGGTGTGGTGCAGACCTGTCCAGGTGACACAAATTGGACTGCCTGACAGTATCTCCAGAAACGCAGCAAGTTGCACAGTACAACTGTTGGAAGATACAACAGCCGAATCAACGAGGCTCAAAAAAAAGTGATTTGGAATCTAACTTGGCCAGTTTTGGCCAAAGAGGTGGCCGAGGGCATAGGAACCCGCACCTGTCTGGGCCAGGCCCTGAAAGGAGAGCATCCCAAGCAAACCACCCGCCAGGACATTGATTGTCTGCAGTGAGGAGGCCAATCCGGTACATGTTGGATGAATGATATCCTCAGAGCAAAGCTGAGCAACGGAAAAGAATGTGATGATGAAACAACTCCAGAAATCAGCTCAATCAGCTACAGTGGTACCTTGCATTTGATCTTCTTGGTGCTTGTGTGTGTGCGCGTGCCCTTTAGTGGCAATGAAAGTTTTCCGCCTCAACTGAGTCTGGAGTCAGAGAGCAGTGCATTGTGCGCTGCATGTGCACAATTCCATGCGATCTGCTGCAGGAGCAAGCATACAGAAAAGCAGATTGGCGAAGAGTACGATGTGCTGGAAAGCCAGCACCCAATTGTACCCACCACAGCAAGTTGGGAGCACAGTAAGACCTTGGTTGGATGTAATTGGTGGGATTGGCACAAGATGTGTCCCAATTTCTAATTCAGTTTCCTACCTTTGTTGTCAAGAAGTACGAATTACATCCAAGAGTCCATAGGCCGCCTGCGCCCCATAGGGTGCTTGATTCTGTCCTGACAAACAGGACCCAGCACGTGGCAAAATAGAGACTCTGAGACCGTCAAGCAAGTCCATGAATTCCTTCACAATATGATGTTCAGCCTTGAAAACAATTCAAATCAGTTCAAGTACAATACCAGAGGTCAAAAATCCTTGCGAAGCAGAGAAAATCTTCTCCACACAAATTCTAGAGCCCAGCGGCTGATACCTGTCCAGCAACCGGTCCACTCAGCAAGCTCACAGCACCCAGAAGTTCCAGAAAGCCAAGGCTGATGGAAGATTGTTTGGGAAAAAAATGCTCAGCTTCCTTCGGAAGGACGAAGATTGTCATGGATGAAATCATAGCTCCATAGCTAATACTTAAACTCGTAATGCAAAGAATCTGCACGCTTGCAGAGATTGTTCCAGGTCTGGGGGGCAAACTCTCTTCAGGTGCAACCTATTGGCCACGCTGCGCTTGCAAGTAGAGGTATGTGATCAAAGAGCCAATGGTGCTGAGGCAGAAGCCAAGCCACAATCGTGCACAGAAAGAGATGTGCACACTTTGCTCATTTTGAAAGGTCAGACTTTGCACACTTTGCTCATTTCGGATTCCATCAGTTGAAAAATCCACCAAAATGTCTGGCGAAAAAATGCCTTGCTCCCTGACCTCCAACCTTCGCTGCTTTGGCTCTACTTTGTCCTCTGTGTCCTCTGTGTGCTCTCTGCCCTCTGTCAGTGCAGCGTCTGGTGCGATGACAGCAGTATGTGAAATCGTCGCTACTCGGGCAGATCCACTGTGATGCCGTCGCATCACAGGTCTTGCCTCAGCCACCAGCCAGATTGAAGCATGCAGCATGCATATGTCATCATATGAGAATCATATGTCAATGATGTCATTCATTGGAAAAGAATTCCCGACATGACTTGACCAAAAATTATTGGACGGTGTCCCGCCTTCGCTCGGTTTGGAAGATCTTCATTTGGCAGCTCGCTGGCTCGCACTGCAAGGAGAACCGATACAAGAAGAGCTGCTCGTTTGACCATCGAAGCTGCAGAGCCGGACGGATGTTCGAAGGAACAGGGACACCTCTAGGCCTATGGCTCGCCGCAGACAAGGATTCATGAGAAAACGAAAGTCCTGACAGTCCTGACATAGAAGTCTCGGGCCAAAACCATGAGATGTTATGACTTGTGACGTCTTCACCCTCTTGTTCAGGTTTTCCTGAGTCTTTCTGCTCTCTGTGTTTGGGCGCTTGGGCCGTCTGACTGTCATGGTATTAGAAGCCAAGTGAATCAGAAGCAAGTCGGATCTTTTCCAGCAGAGCTAAAGCTCAGTCTTGGCTGTAGCATGCCTCTGAGCAGATCGGTCTCCCAATGTGGCCGTTCAGGAGGTCCTTAGGATGGAAGCGGGACTCTGGGACTCTAAGAAGATGTTTGCTCTTGTTCAATGTGCGTCTGCTACAAGTAACTTCTTTCCAGCGCTCTCATCAAGCTCTTCCGTAAATTAAATGTCATACTTGCACATGCAATGCAACCAAACAGCGCGAGTTTCTTGTCGTCTTGCAAGCCTTAGAGCAAACTGTTCCACTCAACAAAGGTGCAGAATCATGCTGGTTTAGTTCTGGCGAAAAATGTTTTTTTTCATGTTTTTTCTTCCAGTAACAGCAGCATGTCTATCCAGCAGTTGACGGATCCATGCAGCTGTGCAACTGCATGCAGGTTGTGCCATTTTTGGCTTGCAGCTCCGGATCGACGCCCGCCTCATGGACAATTGTTCTTGATGCTGCTTTGAAGCTTTGTCTCAAACGCACAAGGGTTTGAAAACGATCCCCGCTGCATTGCCTCCAGCAAGACTTGCACCGCTTTGCTGTGGTGGTGACCTGAAGATTTTCGAAAGCACAACTTCGAGGCCCAGTCAACTTCAAAGGATCATCGCCAAGCAACCATCACCCCAGCAGGCACGATGAATCGGTGCAAAGCCGTCGCTATGAAACAAGTGCCTTGGAAGGTCAAAAAGAGCTGAGGTAGACAGCATCCTTTGACACACAGTCTTGTAGCCTAATATCCTCTGCAAGGCGTTACAAGGATGACTGAATTCTAGTGCTGTCGCAAAGATGGCGTTGACAGCAAACATTCAGGTTTCGCACAACCTTAGACCTTAGTTTCAGGTTCATCACAGACCTGGAATATTTCTGAATGGTTCTGGGAGGATTCAGAACCATTCCCATTAAGGGAATGGGTCAAAATCCTGATACTAATGCCCTGTTGAATGGTTCTGAACCTAGTGAACCTGGTGGACCTCAAAGACTGTTGATCCTGTTGATCCCCCCAATATGGTGTCAGTTTTGAAACATCCCCCTGCTGCAGGAATTTGGCGGAGATGCAGCTTTTCGGGACTGGAGTACTTTATCAGCACCTCGACCACCTGTCAGAATCACGAGCAGAATCACCAACAGATTGCTGATACAGTCATACACAATCCACACTTTTTGTCTGTCAGATTGCTCCTTGATATCATCTTGTTACATATACCAAGCCTCGGGATGACCAGTCCAAGTTGCAGCATCCAAAGGTTTGTACCCCTCCTTGCCATTGCATTTTGTCACTTCGTTTAGTTGAATTTTCTGAACAGTCTTTTGAAGGTGTTGTCACACAGCACTTTCCGGGCAATAACTGCGAAAGGAAAGAAGTCCAAATGTCCTTGTCTCCGATGGTGACATTACATCCTCTCTGAATGAGCAATTCCACGACCTCCACATCAGTACAACTCAAACTTGTATTTGATTCTGTTCGCAGATTCCTTTGCACTGGCAAAAACACCGGAGCTACTGTGCATTCCATGACAAATGGTATTGGGTACAGCACAATGCATGAATTCATGGACAAATCTACCAGCGTCATCCAAGTCTAATCGGTGCAGTTACTGAAAACTACATGATCAACATATGTATCTCCCGGGATATATAAATCCCGCAAATCATGTTCTTCACGATCACCATCAAGAGCATCAAAGGCATAAAGGACACTCACCACCACTAGCAAGGTAAAAATGTCACTACCAATCAAACTGATAGAACGGACCGAGTATTCAGTTACCCTGGTTTGCAGTTTTTTTGCCACAGGTTGAAGTGCAGTCGCAATTTGCGGTGGTAAAAAAAATTGGGACAAGCTCTCCATTGATACTGAAGGTTGCTTCAAAATGTAGAACCTCAAAGTCCCGTGGTTTGTTCTCATCTTCCCACTTGCTTGGAGCATCCCTTTCGAGGCTTCCAAAGTCCAGACCACACCTCCGCATGACCTGCGAGACTTGCTGCCATTACAGGCGTCTGGCCATCGTCCGTGCGGTAGTTGATCCAGGGACGAAGGCCTTGGGTCACTTCGGTCATGTCATCTGCACATCTGCATGTCGTCTACAGGCAGACCCTGCCTCCTCGATCCAGCAAGTCGGCCACCTAATCTCAAGCCACGAAAGAAACACTGAGGAACACTGAGGAGTGGAAAAGTTCCGTGTGATCAACTGGATATGAGGAGTCGGATACTAATGGACAGTTCAAATCACTGTTTTTTATATAGTTTCTAGTGGGTGGATATTTCGAACGAATCTCCTGTGGTTCCACCATGTCCGTTCCACAGAGGACAAGAATATCTCCAGACTTCCAGATCATCCACAGATCAGTTCCCTGCCTCCGAGGTTCTCCCTTCTCTGGCAGGGATATGCAGCAATGAGCTTGCTGCATGTGCAACCAACACAGGCAAAACATACCTGAAATTCATTGCCCCTTCCAGTCTCTTTGGACCAGAAATTCATAGAAATATGTTGAAATATCTAGACTTCCAACGCCTGCATTTCTCACGCCCTTCAGTAAAACGTGTTGCTGTGGGTGCCATGAAGTGCCAAGCTTTTGATTTCACCTCACAACAAGAGTGCTTTTTGGTCAAACTTTGGTGTTCCACTAAACTTCCAAAAATCATGTTGTATCTTTCATTGATGAAAAACTTCAACAAAACCATCCTGATGAATTCTCAGCCCAATGCTGGAAGGGTTTACTGTAGTGAACACTGACGGCTGGCGACAGAAGGTACGCAAAATACAGCACCAGATCTATCAGCTCAAAGACGTACATTAGAAAATGAGTCAATTGATGGGGAAAGGTATAGGTCAAAATTCTGTATCGGAAGAAATATAGAAATGTATAGTTTGCCAGAAGCTCAAAGCCAGAGGATGATAGCTCAATGAATTTGACCTATGTCTGTACCTACCTGACGTACTCACGCAAAGCAATTTCACTAAGCCAACTGATGGCAGTTAGACCTTTGGTAACAAAGGCCGGTCGTCACGCACAGGAGCCGCTTGTGACGGCAGCCACATTCAAATGGCAAAAATGTGGGCCTTCAAAACCGGTGCAAAGCCACCAGCCAAGCCACTCAATGGAATGCAGTGCAAATGAAGAGGAATTTTCTCAGAGCCCTGCCTTTCCATCTTTGTATTTGCTCAACTTCTCCGCATAGTGTTCTGGGTGCCTCTCAATGTGCTCAATGAGTTCCTGCCGCTGTCGTTGCAGCTCAGGGGTGGGCTTGGCCCAAACATCTTCAAACATGTTCCTGACAGCTGCCAAGGGCTTGGCCTCTGCAAGCTTCAGGGCATCCATGACTTCCAAACGGTATTCTTCTCGTAAATCTGCATCCTTTTCATCATCCCAATCGCTGGCCTCTTTCAACAACAGTTTGGCGCGGCTAATGGGCTCCAAACCCTGTCTCGCCATGCGTTTCACCTGTCCCGAGTCGCGATACCTTCCGGCATCGTCAGAGGTGCTGTGATGTCCGCGACGGTAGGTCATGAGCTCCATCAAAACAGGTTGACCTTCCAGGCAAAGCTTGCGAGACTCGGCAGTGGCAAGATACACTGCTGCCAAATCATTGCCATCAATTCGAATGGAAGGTATGCCAAAGGCAATACCTCTTGCAGCAATGCCATCCCCAGCATACTGTTCAGATGCAGGTGTGGAGATTGCCCATCCATTGTTTCTGCAAATGAAGAGGGTCTGAGAACGCAGGGTGGCTGCAAAATTGAGTGCTACGGCGCAATCTCCCTCAGATGCAGCCCCTTCACCAAAGAAGGTCACTGCGATACGTGGTTCAGAAGCCGTGCGGAATGCATAACCAGCACCCACTGCTTGTGGAATTTGGGTTCCAAGAGGCGAGCTGATTGCTTGCATCCCAATGCTGGCATCACAGTAATGAACTGGCATCTGTCGCCCCTTTCCAGGCTCATCACAGCGGCTGAGGCATTGGTCAACTACCTGCTGGATGCTAAAGCCTCGATGAAGGTAGGTGCCAAGCTCTCGATACTGGGCCCAAATCACATCTCTTCTTCCCAGCTGGGCAGCAGTACCAACCTGTGCAGCCTCCTCACCCGTGCCAGTCATGTAGAAGGAGATCCGACCCTGGCGCTGTAAAGAGTTCAGCACAGAGTCAACCACGGCGACCTTCACCATACATTTGTACATGTCGAGGTACGCATCGAGGCTGCAAGGTAATTCGGCTCCATTCACTAGACAGCCATCTTCACCGACCAAACGAAGCACAGGTAATTCTTGTCCAGATTTATGAAACTCTGGTTCTGGTGCCAGCTTCCCCTCATGTAAAAGTCCTGCGAAGGAACTGAAGCGTCGCAAGCGTGGCAAGCGTAGCAAAGCCCAAGTCGGAGACGTCGGAGTCCTGCATCTCAGTGTCCAAAGGCTCATGGCTCACACCAGGGTCAAGAAACAAAAAGGAGCACTGGAAGCATCGGAATTCACTGTCTTCTTCCTGTCAGTTCTCTAAATATTGGTCATGCTTACAGGATGATGTCGATAGTAGAATAGTCCAGGCTAATTACAAGTTCCTGAATTGTCAGTAGAGATGCATTATTCATACTGCCATCTATCATCTATATATCCTCTTGAATCTTTTGACTTGGGAGCTTTGACTCAGCAAATGCAACAAAGGCAACTGGTTTCACAGCGAACATATGCGAAAATGCAAGGTACCACACCTACAAGATATCTCTGCACACACATGATCAGCTCAATGTGGCGATTTCTGAGTGACTGAGGTCTCTCTTCATTACACGTGGTCTGATGCAGCCCTTTCAGCTGGAAAATACAGGACCACGCAGGACGACTCTTCTATTTCAAATGTGGACTCTGCTTCTATTGTTTGACCTTCTCCTTTCCTGTTCGAATTTCAACAGCCGAAGTCAAGGATTGAAGCAATTCCTACATGATTTCTTTTGGAGTAAACCTTCAAGATGTCCATTCCACAGAATGCTTGACTTCTGTCTGTGGGCCACTGCAGCTATCACATCTTTTCGAGGTGCTCAGCCTACGCCGTCCACCGCGATTTTGTTTTTCGCAATTCGACTCGCATTGGTCTCCAAAGGAAAGAGTTGGTATGGGTTTGTCTGAAATTTGGTGGAAAGCAAAGCAAAACATGATTTATCATCGTTTCCCTCTGAAAAGTGAAATCTGGGGTATCTCCCTACCCTATTTTTGGACAAACCAAGAATGGCATCCACCATCATTGCTGGCCTTTCACATCGGAGCCTCTTCTTCCTCAGGCAAAGCTTCCTCAGCAAAGCCTTCTTCGTAGGCTTCTTCACCCTCCATGCCCTCCTGAGCTTCCTGTCGTGGTCTCATCAATGCTCCATGGCATGATCAACCAAAAATGATGAAAACTCAATGCACAAAGGTTTCTCAAAAATTTGACCCTTGGTTGATTGTTGTTTTCCCCTATGAAATACAATATTTTGGTGTAAATTCCCATTTTGAGACAACCTTTCAAATTGAAGCACTGCCAAAACAAAGCACCTCTGGAGCTTCTTCAATGCTCTTGCAGCCACCGCCACCCTTCTCTCCCTTCTCGTTCATCTTCCCTGTAGGTCCAAAGGGTATACGGTATACGGTATATCAGTTTCAACTCGGGAAACAGACCAGCTAACAGGAAGCAAGCACACTGAAATTGAAAGTCAAAACCATGACCCAAAGGATGGGTTGAACATAGAATGCGCTCAAAAGGCCTGACACCACGGCATAGACTATCCCGGCTGAAACCAGGTTGAAGGCAATCAGAGCACCAACAACACCTAGCAAAGTAATGAAAGCTGTCTCTAGAGAAAAGTGTCGGGTGATGAATACATAGTAGAAAATGTGAATTTTCATACCACTCATCTCACCTCCGGTCTTTGCTGGTGTGTACACAAAACAGTCTGGGTTCTCGACTGACTGATGCAAGCCCGTCTGGAGGTGGTTTCCTCAGCTTTCATTCACAACATTTCGTCGCCCCTAGTTTTCCTTTCACAACTGGTCAGCAAGGAAATAATGAACCAAACCGAAGTTAGCTGGAAGATTGGATAAGCTCTGTTGCTGCCAGCAATGTTGGTTAGTGACACAGCATGACATTGAAAGGGCTACGGCTATGGAAGAGATCAGATTGATTGAGCCAAGCATCATGTCTTGCATGGGTCCTACTTCACCTGGTGGTCCTTTCTCACCCTCAATTCCTGCAAACAATGCTCAACTGCTCAACTGTTCAGCCAGCTCCATTCAGCGTTGCTGCCAGCAGCCAGCAGCCAGCAGCTGCCAGCTGCCAGAAGCTCCTGTGTCACCCTTGGGTCCACGGCTTCCTTCAGGACCTTTAGGTCCAGTTTCGCCCTTGTCTCCTTTGGGCCCTTTGGCTCCAGTAGGACCTTGACCTATGGCCACGTCTCCCCACCTGGCGATTTGAGCGATTTGGGCAACGTCCTCCGATTTGGACAACTGGTTGTGGCCATAGTTTTCCCTGCCTGAAGTCAACAAATCCACTGGAGTTGCCTGGACTTGACGTTCAAACAGCAGTTCAGTTGGTCAAACAACTCCAATGGCTGCAACGTCAACACGGGCAGGCAGGGCTCATCATGCTATTTCGCCATTCTGTGCCAAGTTCTCGAAGTTCAGACAAAGGAACCTTCCAGCAAAAGAAAATGTTGCCCACAAAAGAAAACGTTGGCCAACTCCCGAATCTCATGCAGGTGTTGCTTCAAAGAAACCAAGAGGATCCACAATTGACTTCTCTCAAGGAGTTTAGTTTTGGCTCAAATCAAAGAGGCCCAGCTTGCCAAAGCCTTACCTCATCCAAGACGTCAACTGAATGCCTTCGTTTTTCCTGCAAGAACAGGTTCCGTTTATTTTTTTTCCTATAATCACATGTGGATCTGCTCGAAAAACCAAATGAAAGCGAACCCCCTTGCCTGGATCACATTATGGTTGCTCGAATGGTGCCACGCTGAAGAGCCTCTTGCATTTCTCCTTCAGTGCAATTAGCACTGAACAATGTGCGGAAAAATGAGTTTCAATCCCTCGCCGGTGCTGCCAATTCCTGAACCAACAGTCTGCAGCCCACCTTTCAATCACATCCAATTTTTTCCATGCAAAACATGGGCTCCTCATCATCTTTGATTCCTTGGGCAAAGGATATTTGTTTCATCTACACACTTACAATACATTGCATTACATTACGTTACATTATATACATGACATGACATGACATGGCATTGCATTGGATTGCATTGCATTAAATTGCATTAAACACGTACAGTATGTATATGCAAAAATCATATAACTATAGCTGATGTTGCCTTCAAACATCACGCCTCCACTGAGCCATCCGCAGATTCCCAATCGCGTGTTCTTCTGGTCTGGAAATGCGACCTCATGCTGAGCACGCAGGCAAGAACTCTGAGTTTTCACAAATTTCATCCTCAGCCAACGAAGAATCGTCAACTCTGCTGTCAAGGATCTTTGCGTGTTTCCTTGGATGTCCTTGATAGTTTCCGATTTCACCAGCATCGTCAATTGAAGCCCATGCCTATCAGTCAAAACGTTCTGGTTCTAGTGCCAACATATTTTAACTACGTATATTTTCACAAGCAAAAAAAAGTTCATCTCCAACATGTTCGCTTACCGTTGCACAACCTCAGAACATAAAATATAAGCACCAACCAAAAAAAAACTTGAACACCACGCTGATTCGCAAACTGAAACTGACAACTTTGGTTCGATGTTTTTTTTCGTGGCCTCTTCACTGCTGAGTTCTAACGCAACGGCTCGGAACAGAATTGCGGCTGTCATCCACCCGATCACCGTCATCACCTTAGCACGATTTAGCCCGATGCATGGTTTTATGAAAGACTGGGAGAAAGGGAAAGGTTTGGTACTGAGCCCCAAACAAGCACAAATGGAGACCCGCAACTAGCGGGAAAGGATCTTGATGTGAAGAACTATCTTGGTCATGCCCCGGGGTTTGAGCCATATTTGCCATGGAACAATGAAGCATCGTTAGCTCACAAATACCGAACAGCAAATGCAGGACTTTATGATTACGGTCAGGGAATTACAGACATTAGGGGAAAAACATACTTTAGCACCGCATTGGTTCAACGCCATGTATATTGTTTCAAACAAGCAACCTGAAGAACAAAAATTTTCTGGCAAAACATGTTGGACCAGGTTCTTATCAAACGTTTTTTGAAAACACTTTTGTGGGAGACTCCTGTAAGCCAATTTCTGAGACACTGTGGCAACACATTCTTGTGGAGCAATCCTGTAAGGCGCTCTTTGTGACAATTTTTTGCAAACATTTTTGCAGGACAATCCTGTGGGATACTTACGAATGTAAGACACTTTTGCAAGACTGTATTGTGCAAACATTGCAAATTGCGAAACTTCAAGGTGCGGTACGGAACCTTTTGCTTGATCCATAGGGCCTCACAAATTCCATGCGTTTTGCATGACAACTGAATGGACACATGTGAAAATGCTCAGCTGAGAATTGCAGTGTGCTTCATCCTTGCACAGGGGCCACGCATGGCTATGAGTAGGGTGCACAAACTTTCGGACTCCTCCTTGCAATTGATGAGCAAGGCTAGCAATTGCACCCTTTTTGCACGGCGTCTGCGCTTCAAGACTCCGACTCCACCGCAAATCTTTGAAATTTCCTTTGGACCCTGGCGGGATTTGGATAACGGGGAGTTCCCCGGCATGAAAAGTTACTTTGCTTAGCACACATGGCATTTGGATATCTGGAAGTTGCCATCATTCCCCGGCATGCAAATTCACGTGCACTTCAAACTTTCGTGGTTTCATCTTGGCAAATAGGCCATTTCTCTGAGCTGGTTGGCATATTGTTGGTACCTTGTTGCAAGGTTTGGATCTGATTCACGGTGGCGGTCAATCAATGGCTGCAAATGGTCTGCTAATCCCAGAAGCAAATCTCTCTTCATCTCCTGGGGCACCGGCTGGTGCGCATTCACCAAGTTCAAAACACGCATCACGCCATTCTGAAAAGCCATGAAGAACCACTGCATCATTCATTCCATTGCTCACGGCTGAGGCAGTCATTGAGTTCATGTCTGAAAGTTGTTGTAATCTGCCTCAGGTCGGAGACTTCAGGTGCAAAGACTGTCTCCTCATCAATTTTTGTTTTTTTTCTTTTTTTTCTTCTTTTTATTTTTTTCTTTTTTCTGAAAAACAGGCAACGTGCTCACACCTCAGATTTTACTCGTCGCTTTTGAGCCACTTGTTGGGCCACGGGCAAGCACGGATTTGTGCGTGTCATCCTTGCACCAAGAGACAGGACATGCTAATCTTCTCTGTATCGTTTCAACTGCCTACAACCTATCACATGGGTGTGAGTGCCATGACTGAAGTTTGACACCCCACCTTGGCAACTTGTTCCTTTAGAACTTGT